GATATTGAGTTTATTTCCTCTTAATTTTTTAATAAATATATCTTGAAGCTTTAAGGTTTTCCTTTAAGTTTTCTTTAATCTAGTTCAACAGATTTGAACATATGGTTTTCATTGTAATTCAGTTTTAAGTATTTTGAGAATTTTTTCTCAGGGCCTGTTTTCTAATTTAAAGATAAATTTGTAGTATGATTTTTTGTTCTTTTTAAGACAGAGTCTTCCAGTGTCACCCAGCTTGGAGTGCAGTGGCACTATCTCAGCTCACTACAACATCTGCCTCCCAGCCTCAAGCGATTCTCCTGCATTCTCCTGCCTCTCAGCCTTATCTGGGATTACAGGCATGAGCCATCACACCCAGCTGGTAATATGATTTTTAATTTCCAGACATACAAGATTTATTTTATTAGTTTTATAACTATTAACTTCTAATTTTTAGCATGTTTATAGTAAGAGAGTGTGGTTTACATAATGTTAACTCTTTGGAACTTATTTTGTCTTTAACATGGATAGTTTTGTTAATGTTTCATATGTGCTTGAAAATAATCTTTATTTTGTATTTGGTGGATGGGAAATTCTCTATAAAGTAATGGTCTTGAGCTTATTAATTATGCTCTCCAAATTTTCTACAGTTTTGCTTATTGGTCTGCTTGAGCAATCTGTTTTTGAAAGAATATCACAAATATTCAACTGTTATGCTTATTTTTTCATCAAGTTATAAAACAAATACATAAAGATATAACAATATAAATGGAGGCTGGGTGCAGTGGCTCATGCCTTTAATTCCAGTGCTTTGGGAGGCCATGGTGAGTGGATCACTTGATGTCAAGAGTTCAAGACCATCCTGGCCAACATGGCAAAACCTCATTTCTACTAAAAATACAAAAATTAGCTGGGCATGGTGACACACCCCTTTAATCCCAGCTACTTGGGAGCCTGCGGCAGGAGAATCGCTTGAACCCAGGAGGCAGTGAGCCGAGATTGCACCACTGCACTCCATCCTGGGCAACAGGGTGAGTAAGAATCTGTTTCAAAAAATAAAATAAAATAAATAAGATAAATGTAAAGCTCAGTGAATTGTCAGAAAGTTAAAACATTCAGGTCATTACTACCCAGGTTATAAAATAGTACAATACCAGGTCTCTAGAATTGTTTTTGTTCCCCCCTCAATCACTAGAAACCTTTATCTCCAAAGACAACCAGAAGAGTTCTCAGACTATAGAATCATTTCACTTGTTTTTAAACTTTATGTAAATTGAACCATGCAGTATATGCTTTTTGCTTCTATCTTCTAACATTATATGAGTCACCCATATTGTTTTTTGCATCACTATTGTTCATCCTATTTTTTATTGCATTGCAGTATTTCACTGAATAAATGCAATGATACATATATCCATTGTACTGTTTATGGACATTCGGGTTATTTTCAAATGAATAAAAGTACTAGGAATGTTCTCATCTATGCTTTTTGGCATATAGGTGCCCTGCATTTTTATTGGGCATATTCCCAGGAATAGGGTTTTTTGGTCAAAGGGTATGTGTCTGACTTTAAAATATAGCACACAACAGCTTTCCATAATGGATGCACCAATTCGTGCCCCACCACCAGCAGTGTAAGAGTTCTGGTTGCTGCATGCTGTCAGTACTCCTGGTACTGTGAGTCTTTCTCATGCGAGCCGCTCTCAGTCAGAATTGATGTCTTGCTGTGGCTTTGGTTTTAATTGCTCCAATAACTAATACTGTTGAGAGATTTTTCACAAATGAATTGGCCATTTTATTGAGCACCTGTTCAAATTTCTTAGCCATTTTCTATTGGGTTTTCTATCGTGTTCCTATTGATTTATACAAATTTATTATTTATTCTGGATATGAAATCTCAGCAAATTGCAAATATTTTTTCCCATTTTAAGATTCACTTTTATAATCAAATAATACATTTCAATAGACTAAAATTCCTAATTTTAATATATTACACTGTATTTTTCTCTTTTTTTAAATTAGGGCTTTGTGTGTCCCTTTTAAGAAATCCCTGCTTACACAAAGTTTAGAAATCAGCACTATCCATTAGCATTATAATGTACATGACAACTTTGAACCACAGATATGATCTTAATTTTTGGTAGCCATAATAAAAAATAAACTAGGTAAAACTAATATGAATAATAAAAATGATTAGTAACTTTTTTGTTCTTTTTCTTTAAGACTTCAAGTTTTAGTCAGATTTCAAGAGCTGATAACCACATGTGACTAATTACTATCATATTGGGTGACCCATTTCTAGAAGGGTACATGATGCGCCATTCACATTTAGCTCTACCATCCGTGTGCAATTGACTTTTCTATGTGTTATTAGGTAGCATACCTAGCAAGGAAACTAGGTAGCTCCAAGAAGCAAAGGAAGATCTTCAGGATCCCGAGCCAATCTGGGTCCCTTAGGAACTAAGATAGGGCTTGATAGTACTAGGACTTTATGAATATCTCTTATTTCTGCATATTCTCTCTTATTCCATGGGGATATTTGCAACACGGCAAGGAACATGGCCACCTGTTTTTCTCAGGTCACATCTTTACAATCTCCAACAACAGAAGAGAAAAGCTAATTCTAATTCTGTTTAGAAATATCCCATCTCAGGTAATATTCCAATACTCCGCAGCCAGAGTGATATATTATTTTTGCCTGGGCCTAGATTATATGCCTATGTTTATGACTGTGGCGCAGAAATTGTTACCAGAAATATGTTAGCTACCATTATACATTATGTCTATTTCTACTATGAGATGCTGTGAGGAAGCTAGGACTGTTTCTCATGCACAGTAAGCAGTAAATAAGTATTTGTGAATAGCACAAGGATAGTCCCATAATTTGACAGCTATGCTTAAAGTAAGGCCTAGCACAGGACAAAGAATATGTAGTCACTTTCTTTGAACACATTTTTATGATACACAAGTATTTGAAGACCGTACAAACTCTTAGTTTACAAGTTTAGAACTGGTGATTTTAGAGTTCATTAACATTAGAGGCAATTCAACATTTGCTTTATAAACTGCATTTTCTAAAGATTTTGGTGTGCTTAGAAGAGGTACACTGGTGTCCTTAGTAGCAATATGCAGCTTTGCAAAAAAAGTAGCCTCTATCTTTCATGAAGGTACAATCCTTTTGGTTTTTAGTCTAACATCAGCCATTTTTCTTGGCAATTAAAAAAAAATACTGTGAGGAGGAGAATGTTATTTAATATTGAAAGATTAATCCTCCTTTAGAATTCATTCAGCTTCCTATGTGAGTGGGGTCTTTGGCTCAACTTATTAGTTCAGTTATTTATAAGAAAATTTAAAATTAAAGTGTGACACTGTGTTAATTAGAGAGAGAAAGTTGCTGTTCCCTGAGATTCCAAGTGTCCTACTTTTACCTCACATTTCTTCAGAGTTAATATGTTTCCCTTATTGGGAACAAAAGCCTCTCCCCCTTAGGTACATTAATCAGGAGAATTGTGTGAGTGAAAGGAGATGGAGGAGGAGGAAGAGAATTGGAAAGAAAAGAATATCTCTTTAGCTTCCTTCTTTAGGAGTTTTAGCAAGATTGCATGAGGAAAATGACCCATTTTTGTTTTCTAAAAGACATAACAGCTGAGAAAAAACATTTGTTTTGGCTTTATAAAAACTTTAACTTGGTATAGCTGAAGCCAATTATATAGAATTTAGATAGACGATTGAAAAAGGAATAAAATGTAGCCTCAATTATTTGGCCAGAAACACATTGAAATGGTGTAATTTTCTCAGGTGCCAACATAACAGAAAATGGTTCTGACCTTTTCCATGCTACTTTCCTAATGGCTATTTCTTATTTCTCTCTTTGATCATCCTGACCGTACTTGACTCCCTTCTTCCCTTCAGACCCGTCTCCACGCCAGCCTCTCACACACAGGCTTTTTGTTTGTTTTTGTTCAAAGGTTCAGAAGCATATTTAATGGTCTGTATAGGTAGCTGCAGGGTAATGATAACATTCAATGCTTCTCTCTGCATACAAAACCACATATAACTATAGCCAAAAATGATATCCAAGATTTCTGTTCTCTTAGTATTTGTTTTTTCTTGGAACTTGGTTGAGAAAGTTCGAAGGGTTTAAAAATGTTTTGTCTTTTTGACTATTGCAAAGTAAATATCTTAATCTTAGCTTACATTTTTAATGCATTTTAAATATATCATCATAATATAACAATAGTTTATATCATGTAGAAAACAGTCATACATAATATCATTAATTTCTATAACTACTATTCTGTGTTTTCCTTTACAGGCTTTTGCTATGTGCATATTTTTATGTAATTGTCATTGTGTAATTTTGAACTTAGAATTTTTGTTGGTAATTCAAAGGAACAACATGACAACGAAGAATATGTATCTTTCACTTAGTTCAAAAAATCACCTAGTGCTGATAAGAATCAGAAAATGACGATTTTCCTGAGTCATGGTGAATTTTATATTTGTCACACTCAGACGGTGATTTTAAATGCTGTTTTATTATGAGTTGTAAGAAGTAATTTTATCTTTTAATGTTGAGAAAGGCTTAGAGTTGTATGTATGTAACTGCAGTTATAAAGTGTAGAATCTTTTTAGTTTTGTAAATATTAGATTTGACTGTATTGCCTTATAAGAAACTCGAAATAAAAATAAGCATTACACAAATTATGAAATTCAAACTGTGTTGTTATAAACAGTGCAGCTTTAGGATACATTCTACTCGCAAAAATGCATGTGTAAATGTTTTTATACATGCATTAAAAAAAAGAAACTCCTTAAAATGAAGTAACTATTTCCTGTTTCAGTTTTCATTTTCTTTTCGTTTGAAGAGCTTTTGTTGCTCACTAGGAGTTGCTTTAAATCTCTGGGGAGATCTGTTCCGAATTTACTACTTCTGGATTGCCTAAAATCTCTTTAAAGTGTGTGCTTTGTTCTCTAAAAAGCTTAGGTCAGTTGAGCAACAAGCTACTCCTGTTTTTTTTTTTTTTTAAAAAAAAAAGGCTGAGTAATGCTGGAGCATTACTCGTGTGGCTGATGCAAACCTGGAGAATTTGCATCATCATTTAGCTGTAGTAAGTTGGTGTGACAGGCAGGCACTTAAATACAAGCCCATGAGGAAGCTGAGCTGGTTTGTAATGATAGGGCGGCAGCAGCAGCAGCAGCAGCAGCAGCAGCAGCAGCAGCAGCAGCACAGTCGTAGAACGAGGAGGTGGAGAACTGAGAGCACGATGCATACACAGGTGTTTCTGAGTAGTAATTAGATCGCTGTGAAGGACAAAGCACACCTTTGAGTTTTTAACCTGTGAACGAAGTAGCTCTGAGAGAGACAGTCTGAAAGCAAAGAGGAAGACATCAATCAGTAACACCAAGAGACACCAAAGTTGAAAGTTTTGTTTTTTTTCCCTCTGTTTTATTTCAACCTTGTGTGCCCCTACTATGGTCAGAAAGCCTGTTGTGTCCACCATCTCCAGAGGAGGTTACCTGCAGGGAAATGTTAACGGGAGGCTGCCTTCCCTGGGCAACAAGGAGCCACCTGGGAAGGAGAAAGTGCAGCTGAAGAGGAAAGTCACTTTACTGAGGGGAATCTCCATTATCATTGGCACCATCATTGGAGCAGGAATCTTCATCTCTCCTAAGGGCGTGCTTGAGAACACAGGCAGCGTGGGCACGTCTCTGATCATCTGGATGGTGTGCGGGGCCCTGTCACTGTTTGGTGAGTGCGACTTTTTCTCTGGGAGGGGCGTGGCTGTGAGATTGGGAAGCTTGTTTCCTGGGAAAGCAAATGATCATTTTGGAGGAGTGAATGGATGGCAAAGGCCACACCACATTTTTAAAATTTTTGTTCAGGTACATGAACTACCCTGACGCAACATCCACTGTTGGTGTGATCTGGAACTCCCTCAAATTGCTTCCTACACGCTGTACTTTCTTTTCCTAAGACAGGCTATTTTCTGACTTTTCCCCGTGGTGATGCGAGCAAAGGCTAACTTTTATGACCCAGTAAAAAACACGCACAGTTTCTGTGCAGGGCAGTTGTGCTTAGTTTGGGGCATTCTGGCAGCTGGCATGCTGAGTGAGATACCTGTGGAGTGGAACCTGGCGTGGGCTATTTAGACATAGAACAGAGTGTTCAGCAGAAGTTTTACTGACTTTTTAATAGCAAAACAAATGGGTAACAGTCTTTCTAAGAATATTTTGTAAGTTCACGTGCTTGTCAGCTCTTAATATTCTTTCAAAAGTCCTTGACATGGAGAGATTATGATGGCGCATAACTCAATGCCTATCATAAAGGAGTATATTGCAATGGCCTGAGCATATTTCAAATTATTTTTCAACCTTTCGTCACTCCTCACCACCCATATACTTTTGCAATACAAGTTTTAAAACTTCAGCTGGGTGTTAGTTTTCTGTGCTTGCCCACATCTGGTTTTTTTAATCTATATTTCACTTGCTCTCCAGAGACACAGATAATTTGTCCACCTGTTCAATGAATTAATCTGAAGGGAACTGGTAGAAGTATAATTACTAATTTTTCTTCAAAATTATGTCTTGTCTATTGATTTGAGAATTAACAGTAAAGAGGTAAATAAATGGCCCTTATGAGGTAGACAAATTTAACTAGAGAGCTACCTGAGTTTGTTGTAAAGATGATAAAAACTGGCGAATTGTCAAAAAATATTAAATTTGATTTATGCTATAAGGATGTATTTACTCTTCTTGGGAAAGATTCTACACTTATAAGTTGCTTTTTGTTTTAACTCTGGGACTAAGTCTAACTAACAAGTACTAACTCTAACTAGGACTAACATGTACTAACTCTTGATCCCATGTGTACCAATCCATTTATTCTTTCTACTCAGGCCCTGTGATGTTTTAAATCATTGGTTTGACACTCATCTAGAGAACTCAAATTCCATTTTTTTTTTCTGAGATGGAGTCTCACTCTGTCGCCCAGGCTGGAATGCAGTGGCGCAGTCTCAGCTCACTGCAACCTCTGCCTTCTGGGCTCAAGCGATTCTCCTGCCTCAGCCTCCTGAGTAGCTGGGACTACAGGCACACACCACCACACCGGGCTAACTTGTTGAATTTTGGAAGAGACAGGATTTCACTATGTTGGCCAGGACAGTCTCAATCGCCTGACCTCGTGATCCACCTGCCTTTGCCTCCCAAAGTGCTGGGATTACAGGCATGAGCCATTGTGCCTGGCCCTCAAATTCCATTTTTAGGAAGAAGTTATTTTAAATAAAACTTGTTAAAACAAGGTCATAGTATAGAAAGATTTATAGAGGAATTGTTTGGGGTTTTTAAGAAAGTTTGTTAGTCATATTTATATGACTAACTTGTGTTTTATTAAATATTAAGTAACAATTATGTGTCTTTATTTCTCAGTATTACTTCCCACTCTTATAAAATAATTTGGAGTAATATGGTTATGAAAAACTCTAATAGTACCCTTAGCCACTATTAATATTCAAATAGCTCTGGTGTATGCATTTATAGATAAGAAGAAACCTAATTGTTGATCATCTTAAATGACTTTGTGCACCCTTAGCCTTTAAATCTTCCTAGAGCACTTTTTATATTCAGAATAAATCAACATCTAATCAGAAGAACCACAACCAGTTTACTGGACTTTGCATATTTATGTACATTCAGCTTCTACTATGTGATTCAGTTTTTGCACATAATAAAGAATTACTCAGATGTAATAAAACAGATTACTATGAGTATTGAACTAAAATGATGGTGACTTGCGCTATGAAAATATGTGTATGCATATTATATATCATCTTAAAAAGCTCAAAAGAACATAAAAAAGAGGAAACAGCTAAGGGAACTAGCTAAGATTACACCTCAGTTGGTATTTTTTGATTAGTAATTGCAGGGAGTGTGCTATTAATCTACTTATTTATATTTATACTGCATTTGTCACTTAAGTTACCAGAAGCTTTTGGACAGGAGTGCCTCCATAATGGCAAGCAAAGCAAAATGTAAAGAAAATATAATCTTTCTTTTTGAAAAGACTCTAGAACTCTGGGAACAAGTGTAAAGAATCTGTATATTTGGTTATATATATATATATATGTATTTTTAAGTGAAGGGTCAATACATGGATTTTTACATCTTGTTTTGAACTTTTTTCATCTGGGCAAAATGGTTATGAAGCTTGAGACCTTTAAATGAAAATCCTTCCCCCAGAACTCAGTTTAAACCTAGGGCAACCATCCTGGAGTTTCAGCAAAGCATACAGAGGTCTAGGTATTGATTCTCTGATAATAAATTCTGAGGTACTTAAGACTCCTTCCAATAACATTTTATATTGGATCCTTTTCTGGACAGCCTACCAACATGGTGAATGTTTCCCCATGGAGAGTGAGTTGCAACTAATTACAAGTAGTTATAGATAGAGGAAATATATCAGTACTCCCCAAATATCGGTCTGCAGACTAGTTACTTTAGAATTAATTTGTGCAAATTTTAAAGTGATAGAGATTCTTGAATTTTTCTTGTAGAAAATCTATACTCTCTTGATTACAGTCTGTTTTTCATTTGAGTGTTTTTGAATTAAAAATTATTCCCAGACCAGGCCCGGTGGCTCATACCTATTATCTCAGCATTTTGGGAGGCTAAGGCAGACAGAACCCTTGAGCCCCGGAGTTCCAGACCAGCCTGGGCAACATGGTAAAACCCTGTCTCTACAAAAAATACAGAAAAATTTAGCTGAGCATATGCCTGTGCTCCCAGCTACTTGGGAGGCTGAGGTGGAAGGATTGCTTGAGTTCCGGAGGTGGAGGTTGCAGTGAGGCAAGATTGCATCACTGCACTCCAGCCTAGGTGCCAGAATGATACCCTATCTCAAAAAGTAAAAAAAAAAAAATTATTCCTAGGTGACTTAGATGTCACGAGAAGCTTAGAAATCAGATATAAAATAGGTGACACTAAGATTTCACTGAATATCCAAATTATATTTATATGGACTGTTCTGTCTTAGTATTACTAATCAGTAATACTTTTCTACACTTCTATTTTCAGAAGTAGTTGGGCAAAAATTGTGTTCTTACATTTGAGCACTTGACAGTACGGATAGAGCTTTTCACATAATGACAAGATATACTTTTTATTTTCTTGTTAATTACTCAAATCAATAAAGCATAGCTATATTTCATGTGGTGCTTCACATGTGTCAGCCCATGTACTGTGCTTGGTACCCACATTTATACATGCAACTCCCTTACGAGGTAGAAATTGAGATCTCTATTTTACAGAGAGTGAAACTGAGGTTTTGGGGGGCTGCATACTTGTCTAATTTTGTGAGTTGTATTGTTATATGTTAAAAATTTAGCTTATAGTTAATTTGATCTAATGTACACAAATATACATTATAGCACCTCATTTTAAAAAGTATATTCTGGCGGGGAGCAGTGGCTTATGCCTGTAATCCCAGCATTTTGGGAGTCCAAGGTGGGCAGATCATCTGAGGTCAGAAGTTCGAGACCAGCCTAGCCAACATGGTGAAACCCCATCTTTACTAAAAATATAAAAATTACCCAGGTGTGGTGGCAGGCATCTGTAATCCCAGCTACTCGGGAGGCCAAGGCAGGAGAATTGCTTGAACCTAGGAGGCAGAGATTTCAGTGAGACGAGATTGCCACTGCACTCCAGCCTGGGTGATGAGAAACTCTGTCTCAGAAAAAAAAAAAAAAGTATATTGTTCCAACCATTTAGAATGTACACTTCAAAAAAATCCAAGATAGCCTTTTATAGAAACAGACTAAGTCAGAATTCATTATGTTGACAAAATATATCCCACAAATTAAATGAAATCTTTCAAGACATAGAGTCCAGGCCGGGCACGGTGGCTCAAGCCTGTAATCCCAGCACTTGGGGAGGCCGAGGCGGGTGGATCACGAGGTCAAGAGATCGAGACCATCCTGGTCAACACGGTGAAACCCCGTCTCTACTAAAAATACAAAAACATTAGCTGGGCATGGTGGCGCGTGCCTGTAATCCCAGCTACTGAGGAGGTTGAGGCAGGAGAATTGCCTGAACCCAGGAGGCGGAGGTTGCAGTGAGCCGAGATCGCGCCATTGCACTCCAGCCTGGGTAACAAGAGTGAAACTCCGTCTCAAAAAAAAAAAAAAAAAAAAAAAAGACATAGATTCCATAGTTTTCTAAAGAGTGGATACAGTGGGAGGCTGAGGAGGATGAATCAAGAGGTCAAGAGATCGAGACCATCCCCGCCAACATGGTGAAACTCTATCTCTACTAAAAATACAAAAATGAGCTGGGCTTGGTGGTGCGCCCCTGTAATCCCAGCTACTTGGAAGGCTGAGGCAGGAAAATAGCTTGAACCCATGAGGCGGCGGCTGCAGTTAGCCGAGATTGCGCCACTGCATTCCAGCCTGGTGACAGAGTAAGATTCCGTCACACACAAAAAAGAGTGGATACAGCTTGTTTATTTTTATTTGTTACAGAACATGTTTATTAAAAGGGTTCTCAAAAAAAAAACGTTAAAAAAATGAAAAACTAACTCAAACATTTGGTCTAATGCCTTGTCTTGGTGTGAGATATGTTCTTCTAAAAATAGGTCAATAGTGTTGGCATTTCTCTTCTCTTTTTGCCCTGTTTCTAGGTTTTCAGCTCAAAATTCTGGAACACATGATATTGTAGACATGTGTCTTTATCATTTCAAGTAAAATTACAGTGTTCAAATAGAATAAACTCTGTGAGTCTTAGCAATTAGATGACTGTTGTTTGTCTTGAATAAGGATGCCATTCAAAACAAAGCGGGCAGTTCCCTCTCAGGCAACATAAACATTATTGTATAGGTGCCTTGAAAATGTATTAAATTGGAACCATTTTGTGACAAATATTTCACAGGAGCCTTGTCTTATGCTGAATTGGGAACAAGTATAAAGAAATCCGGAGGTCATTACACATATATTTTGGAAGTCTTTGGTCCATTACCAGCTTTTGTACGCGTCTGGGTGGAACTGCTCGTAATACGGTAAGAGCATAGTAGAAATAATTAAGAAAAAATAAACCGATTCATTCTTATGAATCGCCTTGATTATTTTTAACTGGTTAGAAATACGCATGTCGTGTGACTGTGTGATAAGTACATTTACCTCAGGTTATAAAGCCTGTGATAAAATACCTTTCTGGATTAAGATATTTGTAATGCAATTTTGTCACTGGCAAGCAAGCAGTTTGCCAGCAATGCCAAACTTCTAAAAGTATCTACCTTTCTTTAACCCTCAGCTATTCTCTTTGACATTTCTAGGAGAAAGATGGTTACTTGAAAGGATATGAACATGAAAATTCACCTGGATACCTTTTGACTGACTAGACAAAATTAAATATTATACTATGAATTAGAGTTTTTTCTTATTGTAGATTACACCATTATGTCATTTGACTTTAGTCATTGTGATGAAGACACTTCTGTGCTTAACAACTTAGTAAGTCTTATTCTTCATAAAAAACAGAGTTTGCATGACAGAGTCAAGTGACTCATTTCCTCACATTAAACAAATCAGGAACTATAGTGGCAAAGGTGTTTTTTGATTTTGTTGTTGTAAGAATGTGTTCACATTCCTGATTGTCTTGGTTTAAAATCAAGCTGAATAGTGCTAAGTCACTCTGAATAGCAAGTTTCCTTCAACTTTGTGGGAAGCTTATGATGTCATATGAGCATTTCAGAGTATCACAGTTCCTTAAGGGTAACTACTTGGGTAAATGTGACATGCACATTCTGATTACAGAATTTAATGCTATTACTGGGGAAATCTGTTCTTATTAAACATATATGATTGAGAGCTCCTGTGAACTTTTATGGCTAAGTGGCAAATACGGTGCTAATAAGAATTGACTTAACACTAATTATGAGTTTTAAGATGTTAGAAGCCTTTTTTTTTCTTTTTTACATAAAAAAGACCTTCAAAGTAGTGTCATGTATCATATCAATATACTTCATGAAGTCTGTTTTCATTTTAAACAATTCTGCATTATTTAAAATTGTTATATTCAAATAATAATAAAGAAATATTTTTTTTCCTTCCCTAAAATCCCTGTATGGGGAATGTACTTTCTGCTCCTTTTTGATTATCTCAATTTTACCTGCTCTTCAAAGGTCATCTTAAATCCTACCTTTCCCACAATTAATTTCCTGTTTATTCTAATTTATGTTATTTCTTTCATCTTGAATTCTTCTGGAAAATGCAGTCCCTGCTTCTCATTTGACATTGAACATGATATTTTCTATCCTTTCTTTTTTTTTTTTTTTTGAGATGGAGTTTCACTCATGTTACCCAGGCTGGAGTGCAATGGCGCGATCTCGGCTCACCGCAACCTCCACCTCCTGGGTTCAGGCAATTCTCCTGCCTCAGCCTCCTGAGTAGCTGGGATTACAGGCACGCGCCACCATGCCCAGCTAATTTTTTGTATTTTTAGTAGAGACGGGGTTTCACCATGTTGCCCAGGATGGTCTTGATCTCTTGACCTCGTGATCCACCCGCCTCGGCCTCCCAAAGTGCTGGGATTACAGGCTTGAGCCACCGCGCCCGGCCTTTTCTATCCTTTCTTAACATTTTAGGTGTCTACATCTTGTTTCCCTGTTAAAACTGCCAACATTTCAAGCACATATAGATAAGATCTTTTTGTATCCCTTATACTACTTAACTCAGTGCTCAGTTTTTGTTAGGTATTAAATTATTTTTGAAGAGTAATTGGAAGTTTTGCATTAGCATATATTGAGTATGACATACTCAACATTTAAATGCATGTAGTACTTATTTAGACTGCTGGCCTGTCAGGCTGGTGGGCTTTGGAGCTTGATGTAGTTGGAGCTGACTCCATCTTCAGCCATGTACTAGTGGTGTTAACTTTGGCTCATTGCTTGGTATTATAATGAGCATGATCAATCCATGTAAATATAGCTTATATCTTGCAGTAGCAAGGACAAAATATTCATATATTTATTTATTTATTCCGCGAACTGCTACAGAATGGTAAATGGCAAGAAAAAGAGATCTAAAGTGAAATCAGCCATGATTTCTGCTCCCAGGTAGCTGATAATCAAATGTTAAAACTACTTCTGTGTGTGTGTGTGTGTGTGTGTGTGTGTGTGTGTGTGTGTGTGTGTGTATTGAAAGAGGAAAGTACCTATGTATTCTAGAAGCTTTTAAAATATGTTCATATATCTTTTTGTCATAACATACTCATATTGCTGAGTTGGCCTTTTAAATAGGCAGAATAACTAATGACATGAAGAGGGATGAGATAGCTAAGTATTTAAACACCTCTTCTTTTACTAATACCCATAGTTCCTAAGTTCTTCCCATTAAGATCATACTTGTAGATTAAGCCAGTATTTCCAGAAATTATCAGTAAAACACAGATTGCAAGGAGAGAAATGACACCTCTCAGTACATAGCAGGGGTCATTAAACCAAATTTGTGTATTCACTGTGTATTCAATATATATTGGGTTTCTGCCACCTGATAGACACTGGAGAAAAAATTGTGATTAAGATAGATACAATTTTGTACCCCTAGAGCTCAGAGTCAAGTGGGAGGAAATCATTATCAATCGACAAATCACATAGGTAAATATAAAATTGCTACTGTGATAAGCACTGTGAAAGACAGGCCAAGGGCTTCGGTAAGAATATGGTCCAAGAGATCTGGCCCAGTCAGAGGTTGGAGAGGCTTCCCCTGGCAAAGAAAATTGAATCAAGATCTGAAGTATAAAACATGGTCAATCAGTTGCAGAGGCTGAAGGCAGAGAAGATTCATATCATTCTAGTGGCAAGAAACTAACTGAAGAGGTACAGAGGGAGAGCTTAGACCAGATGGAGCCTTGAATGCAATGGGAAGGATTTTTCCATATCCTGACCATGTTTTGAAAGTACTAAAATGGCATAATCAGATTTTAAATTATACATCAAAAATTGTATAAATAATGGAGAATAACATTTTGTTTGGGGGAAGATGGGAGGGTGTCTGGGAAAAGAAGATAACCTTATGCTGCTCTCCAGTATCAGCTGGCCAAAGTTGGGAACATGTATTGGTGGTTGGTTTTCTGATAATCTATGGATTAGGCATGAGTGTTGGGTAACCACAAGAAGAAAGAGAAGCTAAAAAGGGAGTTTGGCATAAGAAATTAGATAATTTCACAGACTTGCATGTGTATAGAAAAAATAAACATTCATATGTACTTACATCTAAAATGAAAAGGTTTGTGCAATTTTCTCATAAAAATATTTGGAGAACTGAAATAGAATGATTTATTACCTATATTTATATATACCTGAATTTATTTCATATTTTTGTCTCATTTATATTTTCTTAATTGCATAAGATTATAATAAATCTATTATTTTAAAATTTATACTTTGCATCTGAATGTTACTGTAGGTTTAAGAATAATCACTTGGCTTTGAGATTTTGTACAGAAAAAAATAAGAATAAAACAATGTCAAGTATTTAGGCATGTATTTGCAGGGAACACTTAATATTAATTTTTCAGGTTGAGTTTTGTGTTCATTCTCTCGACTATGCCCTGACACATTAGATCTGTGTGGCATTAACAAATTCATAATATGGCTGAAGTTTACTTACTGACATTTTGAGAAAGAAGACTGCTTCTTGTAAGGCCTATCTCTGTCTAGATCTCATGTAATAAACCAGGTTTTTAAGGAAAAGTCAAATACGGGAGAGCAGAGGAAAAGTTGAGAGTACTTACCCTTCTTCCCAAGAATATGTGAAGTTTAAAAACTAGCCACCAAAGTTATAGGAAACATTTCATTTGGAAGGTCTGTGGCAACCTAATCAAGTACAGGTTCTGAAAATTACAGACTTTCATATTTAACCATGTTCATATGCTAAATACACTCAAGGTAGAAAAAAATTAATGAAAATGCTATTTCTTCCCCTGTGGTTAACCTAAATATATACATTGTTTTTAGCCCTGCAGCTACTGCTGTGATATCCCTGGCATTTGGACGCTACATTCTGGAACCATTTTTTATTCAATGTGAAATCCCTGCACTTGCAATCAAGCTCATTACAGCTGTGGGCATAAGTGAGTATTATGGCTATAAATGTAAAAAAGGAAAGAACAACACAAAAATGATTGAAGACAAAGTTTCTCTAGATGTTTTGCATTATGGGATTCCTTCTCACATTATGTTCTTTTTGCTTACAGTTCCAAATCTGTGCTGGAAAGTAAAGAATCTGGGTTTGGAGTGGCGTCCAATATTGTATTCCATGCTAGTTTTGTATTTGGTCAATAGATATGATGGCTAATCTTTTTAAATAGTGAAAATTACCTTATTAGTAAAATATTAAGTTGATTATATGTGAATAAGACTTTTAAAGATGAACCCCAATTATTTTATAGATTATTTGAATTGGAAATTAGCTATATATTGAATTATATCTCATGTGTAATAATGGAGTTACATTTATGTGCTGGGTGTGTAAGTTGTGTTCATAAATTTTATAGTGTTAGCAGCTGTCACTCCCAGTGTTTTAATGTTAGCTGCCTGTTGTTGCTCATGAAAAGAGTTTTCTTTCAAGACTGATTCTTAGTAGCATTTCTCAACTGGATTTCCTTATGGTCTCCAAATTGAGAAGGTGTTCATCTTTTATCAATGAGCACAAATGTTTTTTGATTTATAAAGAAAACAAAAAGAAGAAAATGTACAAAATTACTTGAGTGATATGAAGCCATATATGACTTTAACTCCCCAAAAGATGCCAGGTACCAAATCCTTAAATATGGGAAAGGATAACTTAATTCTTGGTGCTATTTGAATCACTGTCTTAAGAATCAATAAGATCACATTTAACCAAGTTTTAACTACTCATACATAGAAAGCTACACAGGAATAACTGAATTGCATAATCAGAGAAGAATTTTTGGTTTGTATGGCTGTGTTTCAATAGGATAATGCCTCGGATATTGCCTATTATTTACTTATTTATTTTTAATTAAAGTTAAAAAGTAGATTTAGGGGGCACAATGCAGTTGTGTTATATGAATATATTGTGTAGTGGTGAAATCTGAGCTTCTAGTGTAAGCATCACTCAAATAGTGTACCTTGTAATCATTAGGTAATTCTCATCCCTCATCCTCCTCCTACCCTTTCACCTTTCTGAGTCTCTGATGTTCATTGTTTTACACTCTGTCTATGTGTTTACGTTATTTAACTTCCAGTTGTAAGTGAGAACATACAGTATTTGACTTTCTTTTTCTGTTATTCCACTTAAATAATGACTTCCAGTTCCGTCCATGTTGCATGCACCAAACACATGATTTTATTCAATTTATTGTGAGCACAATCAAAATGGTAGCTATTCATACTTTTGGAGAGACATCATTTGAAGTTCCACGAGACTAGAGACCTATTCATTGCTATATTTCCAGCTCCTCACACAGCTCCTAGCATATTGTTGGTGCTCAGTAGGTATTTGTTGACTGACTTTCTGAGAAGTCTAAGAACTTTTTCTCTAGCAGAAAAGTTTATAGCCTGTTTACTTGTTAACTTGGAGGATTAGATATCTTCAGTACTTTCAGGTAGTAGGAAAATGATAAAAACAAAATAGAGTTTGCTTCATATGATGTTCACGTCTAGCAGCCTAACGTTTTGTGAGATGAACCATTTTAGCATAGTGGCTACAGCTTAGGCTTTGGAGGCAAACAACCTGAAACTGAAACTTGTTGTTGCAATTCTTACTATGTGATCTTGTGCTAGTTTTTAAATGTATTTAAGTCTCAGTTTTATTTATTGGGAAAATGGCTATGAGAAGATAGTCTATTAATATCTTGAATGGCTAAAGGAAGATTAAATTAAGTCAGTTTTTTGTTAAGGTCATATTCTTTTACATTTTTTCTTTTCTCAGCTTTTATTTTGAGTTCAGGAGTTTACGCATTTGTTACATAGGTAAACTCGTGTCATGGAGGTTTGGTGTACAGATTGTCTCGTCACCCATGTGCTAAGCCTAGTACCCAAGTTATTTTTTTCTGATTCTCTCCTTCCTTCTAAACTCCACCCTCAAGTAGCCCCCCGGGTCTCTTGCTCCTCTTTGTGTGCATGAGTTGCTATCATCTAGCTCCCACTTATAAGTGAAAACATGTGGTATTTGGTTATCTGTTCCTGGTTTAGTTTGCTAAGGATAATGGCCTCTAGCTCCATCCATGTTCCCACAAAAGACATGATCAAAGTCAGATTTTTTAAGATCTTTATCAGAATGCCTTACCTATAGAAAGTTCTTGATAAGTCCACTGTTCCACTAAGGGATTGGACTATCAGCCATTGTTATATTCACCATTTTCTTGTCCCTTGAATGACTGAGGCAGGATCATATCACAATTATATTTAAAAAAGAGAAGAGCAGGGATGGCATTTTTGAGAGCTCTGTAAATTAACAATAATAGTTATTAATTAAAAACTATAATCAGAAGACTTTAAGTGGACTGTATGTAAACATTTATAAATCCACAAATTTTGGTCACTTTGGAGTTAAAATTACATGAATAATAATGCTATATTTATATTTTTGTAAGTCTATATAACTCTTTCCTTGTTTATCCCAATTCAATCAAACATTTTAAAGGAAAAATTTGTGTTTCAGGGAATTAAATGGAAACTGGTCAAGCTAAACTTTAAAACAGTTATAGAAAAGGATAACTATGTTGGGATTTATAAAATCTCTGTAGTAGACATTGGTGACGGAATAGTTAACAAGAAGCCTGAGTAAATCTCAGACAAACCCAAACATTTCCTTCTATTGTTATCATGAGTTACACCGTTCATTTTTAAATTTTGATGTTCCTTCTGCAAGCTTGAAATTCTGAGAAAGAAAAGTGTTCCCATAATCAGCAACAGTTAAAAAGAAAACTGGATGTCCTTATTACTCAGTGGTAGGTAATGTAAATCAGTGCCCTAATTGGGAAAGTCAAACTGTCTTTAAGAAAAATTTAGCTTTAATGGCGCAACAGGGGGTGGAAATGGAAACAGAGAAGGAGAAATTTATCTAGGGGCAAATCTCTCACATCCTGCTTGCTTCAAAGTGAGTCTAGGTGATTTTCTAACTGTTAGGGGTGGAAGGTTACCAAGATGTAGAAAATAGAGTTTAATTGCATGAATTGCTTCCCTGTGATCCTTGGGGAAGAAAACAGTTTGTGGCCATTTGAAATCTCTAGTTAAGCGTAGAAACAGAGCAAACCTGAAGGGTCTTGCTACATCACAGAAAAAAAAGAATTTCAAATTTTGTGAAATGTTAGCCAACCATTTGAGAGATGAGGGTGGGAGTTAACTGAGTGCTAATTCTCTCCCATTTTTTAAAGTAACTGTATTTCATTTCTGTCAAATTTAATGAAGATGAAAAAGCTTTTGTTTATACAGATTTCATCCATTCCAGTAAACATGTCAGGTACATGGATGTTTAGATGAAAAATCTTATAGATTCACATTTGGCTGTTCTTTTATAGCTCAATATTGTAATCACTTTCTTCACCTTCTATAGAAGTTCATGAATTTTCACTGCTCTTATAGATTCAATAAGCATTAAAGTATGCTCAATATTTAAAACATTTATCTGTTGCTCTATTTTCCTGAAATTGAACCCAATAGAATTATATACTTGAATGTCAGAATATAATTATTCTCTTAAGGAGAATATTTTTATTATATTCTGACATTCAAGTGTATAATTATATAGGGTTATATATTTTACATATACATGTTCACTTGAATAATTATTATGTTCTGACATTCAAGTGTATATATAGATATATATATTCAAGTATATATATAGAATATATAGATCTATATATTCAAGTATATATATATAGAATATGTAGATCTATATATTCAAATATATATATCTATATACACACTTGAATGTCAGAACATAATAAAAACATTCTCTTTAAGATATGAGATCCAGTCCTAGATCCATCCCTAACACCATCAATTGTTGTATGTCAATTTCCTTGCTAATTTATTTTATATAGATGAGTTAAGAGCTCCATCCTACTTCTCAAACCTGTGAGAGTAATTGGGAGGAACAGGCAAAATAACATTTATGATTTCATTGTAAAAAAATAAATTTGCCAGTTCTACAAAGGTATCACTTTATATTCTGTTTGACATTTGTGTTTTCCTGGCACCAGTAAATTACATAAAAGAAAATCTAGGACTATTTCTGTGTTAACATGTCAAATATAGCATAAGAAGTGGCTCTGTTTGAATCTTGTGATATCTAGCTATATCTACTTCTTTTCTACCATAGCTAAATTACCAACACAATCAATTCTAGGTAAATACGCATAGTATTAAAATATACAAATACTGCGAGCAACTATCATATACTTTAGGAGGATGACAAGTAAAATGTGGAATCAAAGGTTCCTGAAATCCCAGCTAATAAATACGAACTTCTGGAGAGGGAAAGAGCCATCACGAGTTTAAAAGAACTAGGTACACTATTATTTAAACATAATGGGATCATGTATGTCTTCTGAACTACTTCCCCATTGTTACCTGGGAACTAATGGTAAAAGTGTGGGCTCCAGAGTTGCATTACCTGGGCTCTAGCCTTCACACTTACTACCTGTGTAAACATAGGCAAGTTAAATAATATCTCGAGTCTCAGCTGCTCATCTGAAAAATAAGGCCAATAAAATAACTATGTCATAGAGATGTGAGGATTAAATAACATTATTCATGTAAAGTCTTTGTAAAATGTCTGCCAAAATAGTGTATATTTATGTATCGCTTAACATTTTTATTCCCAATAGTGAAATCCTAGATATAGACTGTCACCCTGCTTTTTAAAGTGTTTGTTGCTACATATCTTCTCTAAAATTAATGCATCCAGGAAACAAATGCTAATAAAAAGATAAAAGGAATTCAGGCAGCCATTACAAACAGCAGTGAAACAACCCACTTTATCTCAACATGAAACATATATACAGTACATCCATATATTTTTATCAGTTTAGCACAAAGTACTCAGAATTCAGAAGCCAAGAAGAACTTGAACCTGGGAGAAAACTCAATATATCTAGACTCTGTAATCTCATTCTTCAAAACCCAAAGACAGACTCGAATTACACAGAGTGCAGAAAGAAATACTTGCCAGTCCTTAAATCACAGCTTCAGTCTTTAACTTTACCTTAAACATCCTCTTCAAATATAGCTTCCTTCAAATATGTATTTCTTATCTCCAGGATTTATAGATATAGCTTCCATTGCCGCATTTCAGTTCTTATGAAACTGCATCATAAATAAGTAAATAAAAACTGTATGTCCCTGCATTTTTATTTTGGTAAAATTTAAGGCGAGCACACAAAAGAATGTCAAAATTGATATAATTATTTTCTCATGTGTGAAATTAGCAATTGTTATTCAAAGGAAGTAAAACTAGGACCAGAGAGCTGTCTTAGATTTCTTTGATTATTGCAATGTGGGTAGGTAGTATTTTTATAAGTATATATTATTTGTTTCAGAAACTCAGAAAGCTCTTGCATTTAGTGAATCCCAAATCCCTTTTCAATATTGTTGGATAAGCAACTACATAGACATAAATTTCACTGTAACGACACATGATGAAACAGCAGTTATAGCCACTGGAGAACCTTCACTGTGCCTCTCACTGGCTGCCTTGTTACTTGTTAAGCTATGCCTTCGGGGTAATACAGGTGCATCTCAGCTGGAATTTGGTGTACCAAATAATGAGTACAATGTCTGGATGCTCAGATAAAGCAGGGTTTTGAGAAACCTTTGAAACAAATTTCCTCTTTTTTCTTCTTTAAAAGTTTGTTGAGGTGTAATTGTCATACAATAAATCATACAGCTTTAAATGTACAGTTTGATAAAGTGTGATGTATGAATTCACTTCTGAAACTATCACTGCAATGGGATTGCTGGATCATATGATAGATTTATTTTTAGTTTTTTGAGGCATTGCCATACTGTTTTCTATAGTGTCTATACTAATTTAGATTTCTACTAGCACTGTACTTGCATCTTAATGAGAATTTTTGTAAAGCTGAGAGGAAAGCAAGGTGAATTGATCAGTTCATAATATCTGTTTGATTTTGTCTTCCATTTGCCTAAGCAAACTTTACAAAGTATTTTTAAAAATCTCTAATACCCAGCTTTTTTTTTTTTTCTATTTCAATAGGCATTAGGTACTTACATTCTTCATGCAAGTAACATAGTTGTTACAAAAATAAGAGTGCCTCTCTCTCTCTTTCCTTCCTCCTTGCCTGCCTCTTTTCCTTTTTATCTTTCTCCTTTCCTCTCTCTTTTTTTCTTTCTCTCTATATAACAATTCTTTTCAATTGTGGAAAGAACTTTCATAAATTGAGTGTGCTTTGGGTTTTAGGAGCCCTATTTAAAAGAAAACACTGCCCTTTTGTTGCTGGTGGCCACATGAGACAATTTTTTTCACTTTTATGCCAATGTTGAACTTCCTTAATTAAAACAATAATTATCATGTAATGACGCATCACGAAGTCATTTACATGGAAAAGGAAAAGAACCACTGGATGATGGAGCAGGGAGCAGAGTTGCACTAACTTATATAAGTGCCTTCTACTGGGGAGAGAGAATTTTATTTCTGTGATTCCTCAGATAAAATAATGTACTTTGTCATTGACAACAGGCCTATTTATCTCTTCATGTTTTCAGCTTCCAACACAGATAAAATATCCCTTCTTAGGTGCCCCTGTAGTTTATTCAGGGGTTTGGCCTTTTTGATCATTCTCATAATTACTCCTTTGAAATATTTCTTCATTAGTAACTCCCTATTTCACTTTGTATTAGATCTTCTGATCCCTTATTTTTCTCATCTTGGAATTTTTTCCAAAAACAAAATGCGTTTTATTGCTTCATTTACTTTTTAATTTTTTTACAGCTTTATTGATGTATATTTGACAAAATTGTAATTTTAAGGTGGACAATGTAATGATTTTATATCTATAGAGAAATGATTATCACAATCAAGTTAGTTAACACATCTACTACTTCATTTAGTTACCCCTCTTTTTTGTTTTGTTTTGTAGTGAGAACATTTAAGTATATTTCAAGGATACAATTGAGTATTTGAAAGTATAGTCACCAAAATGCTATATGTTCATTATAAAATTTATATAACTTTTCCAAAAAATAAATTTAAAAAACTGATAATTATTCAGTATTCTATCACCTGTAAACACCTGCTGTTGATGTTTTGGTAAATACATTTCCAGATATTTTTATTTCTCTCCGTATCTATTCTGTATCTTCCCTCCCTCCTTCCCTCCCTCCCTCCCTTCCTTCCTTCTTCCCTCTTTTCCATCCATCCCTCTAACTTGCTATACTTGTCAGTAATATATCATTAATATCCTTTCTTGTAATAAATATTTAACTGCCTTATAATTTTAAGTGGCTGCGTGTAAACTATTAAAATGATATTAGTTAATTAGTCTCCCTTTAGGGGGTTTAAGCTGTTTCACTTTTTTTTTTGCCTTTAAATATTACATGTTGACAACATTTGCATTGTTAAATTCTGAAGTGAGCTAGTAACTATCAGGCAATGAAAACTATGAGGCAGACTCACTACTATACATAAGGAAAACTTCCAATTGCAACTTGAATAATAAGAATTCTGTAGTTTTGTTTCATTCTTTGAGAAATATATGCATTTTTAATATTTGTTTAGGGAGAGTATATCTTTATAAAAATAAAGGTTACAGTTAATAATTGTAAATGTCAGGAATAAAGTAATGTTTTGGGTTTTTAACACTGAGCATAAGGTTGTTGAAAGAGCGTAAAGTTGAAATCCACTGTCTAGAATAATGTCCGTCATCCAGCAGAGTAATGGAGAAAAGTCTTAGAACATCACCATTTTTCTTGTCCCTTAGATATTCTGAGGACCCAGTTCATTCATTTATTCAACAAAAATGTGTTACGCTACCTAGGCCAGGCATGGAGCTGGACACTAGCAATACAGTGATGAATAACCCATTCTCTATCCTTGAGGTTTTCATGGTCCACAAGGTGTAGAAGGTGGATAGTTATTGCTGCTTGGGAAATTATAGACAGCATCAGAAAGAATGAGAAATGCTTTGAACCCAGTGTGCATCCTAGCCAGGCTATTTTTTTGCATTCATCATTTAGAATGTTGTACTCAAGCCCTAAAACATAACTTGAAAGACTATATTTGTACGGTAAGTTGAAAGTCATCCCTTGATATGCTAATTAGAAAGAAGAAAACCAAAAGAAAAGTGCTGCCAGACGCTAGTCCTGAGAGTGAAAAATAAGATCTTAGCTAACTTTAAACTTCTTGTCCCTTCCTGAGTGTGATCCACGTTGGCAGGCATACCATCATCGAGATAGAGAAGAGTTGCCACATCAGGCTGGAGTGTCAAATTCAGCCACCTGATTGGATGCTGTGATGGCAGCAGGGTTTGGTTAGAAGACATTTTTCTATGATTGTTAGAGTACTACAATATATGTCCACTCTTATATACAAAGAATTCTCATTGTCCAGAGGTTTTATCCGTGTTTCCCAAACTTTAATGTGCATAAAAATCAGCTGGAGAATCTGTCGATTTGTATTCATTAGGTCTGGGGCAGGGCCTGAGATTCTGCATTTCTAAAACACTTCCAGGTAACGTCAACACTGCAGCCTTGTAGATTGCCCTTTGAGAAACAAGGACCTAAAAGGTCTTTGTGCCAGTGAGGATTCACCTTTTGTAACTTCATCTATTTGTTTGCAGCTGTGGTGATGGTCCTAAATAGCATGAGTGTCAGCTGGAGTGCCCGGATCCAGATTGTCTTAACCTTTTGCAAGCTCATAGCAATTCTGATAATTATAGTCCCTGGAGTTATGCAGCTAATTAAAGGTATGGACTGAAAAGTAAATGCTTTTTAAAATACTTATCTGCTTTTGGTCTTTTTTAACACTAACTTTTGCTTGTACTAGCAGAATCCTTAATTAGTCTCTACTTGTGGAACTTAAACTCTATGTTGTCATCTAATTGATTTGAAAGGCTGCTACATTGTAAGTGAGTTGGTTTTTACAGTTGAATGGCAGCGAGGGGATTAAGACTGGGCCAAGCAGCAAAATAAGGCATCAGTGAATTTTCCAGGCATAATGGTTTGGAGTGAAAACTCGAAGTAGAAAAAAAAAATCTGCCAGTTAGTTTTAATTACAGATAAATATTTTTTAACCTTAAAATTGTCCAATAATGGTAATAAAAATTACAGAGAAAAAGGCATCTGGAAAATAATGAAATTTGATCAATAATTCTTTTACTTTCTGGTTATTATTCCTTTTAAATTGAGAGTGATATCCTCAAAAGAGGAGTCAGTATGGGAACAGCATTCCTAAACACCCAAATTATCACAATAAAGTAGTTGTAAAAACTTAATTTTTATTGTTACATTATTTTTCATGTAAAATGTGCATTTCTGCTGAAATGCAACATTTTCTGGGATTATTTGCTTTATAGAGTTTAACATTTAATACGGAAAAAGAAGTTGAGAGGTGATATCATTTAGAGTTTTAGTTGTTTTAGGAAAGAAGCCACATGCAGTTGCTTGGACTCGGTGGAAATTGTTGGAGGACAGAGATCCACATGAATTATGTAATTAGCAACAGGAATATAGCAAGAAATAAATAAGAAAGTGAGAAGAAATTGTAACGGAATGACATAACTTGGGCATGTTAAGTATTTAATGTTTACATTGATATTGTCTGTTCCAAGAAAGGGAATTTATAGAGAAATTTAATGACATTGTAGGAAAAGAATTACACAAGGGAAAAGGAAGTGCCAAAGTTTGGTAAAATCATCACCGTTGGTAGAAGCATTCAACAGTAACAAACACTGAAAGATCAGCTACTCTGTAGCTGGGAAGGGGAGCTGCCGTTGCCCATTTAATAAGCCTAGTGGGAGATTTTAGAGCCCTGCTGGCGGAAATGCTTTTATCAAATCCAGCAACTGCAGCCAACGCAGAATAAACACAGTGAAGATTTTGACCATTTGAGCTTGCACTGAAGAGAAGACAGGAGCTTGCTCTTCTAATATACCTTGGCCTCCACAGAGCTAGCCTGCTCATATTCTATCTTATTCATTAGGAATGTAGGCACAATAATCTGTTTTGTTAGTGCTTTGTTTTTCTGAGTTAACTCTTCAGTCTTCTGTAAAGAGCTTCTTCAGTACTGAAAAGTGCAGAATCTCTGGGTCATTGACTGCTCTTTGACACCAGTTTAGATTCCAAAAGATTATATGCTATCCTTTGAAACTAAGATTAATTTCTTTTTTTGGTGTAATTTAAGACATTATAGGTAGCATTATAGACCGTGTTCAATTTTTACCACTTATTTATATATGTATATGAGGAAGGGTTTGGTTGCCCAAATGTCACTGTATTACAAATTCCTTGAGAGCAGAGGTCATGATATATCTTGAGGTTTTTTTTGGTGGCTACAACATAGAGACACTTTAATTAATAATTATGATATCAATGCTACATGTGACAAGCTTCTTCAGAGATCTCACTCAGAGAAATTCCATGAGAATATTACCACATTTAATGTAAATTTTGACATTTTAGAGGTCATTGTTAGCAGGTATATTTGCTCTCTTACTATAAAATTGTGATTTTCTTCATCTCTAACATGATCACACATTTTACACATTAATCTGAAACTCTAGTAAGAGACTTTGTTAATACAAATTGTGCTTTTATTTTTATTCTAATCAGATCCTCAAAGCAGTTGTATGTTATATATTCGCTTGTGAGGATTTGTTGAACTTTCCTTTGAATATTATGATTTTAATCTTCCTGAGACCTCTGTTATATAGCCAAAATATTTCTGAAGTTTAGAAACAAAATTGCCTCTCTTTTGTAATATTCTCAAAATGGTACTTTTGAAGCTCTGTGCTTGTGACCCAGTCTTTACAGGATTTGGTTTTTCTTATTGATTATTTGGTGCTGCACTCTTAGAAATATTGTGCCTTTATGCCAGAGACCACAGATCATGATAAAAGAATATTCAACAGATGTTTTTGTCTGAATTCCACTATTTATATTTTTCTTCTTGAAGGACACAGATGTTTTAGTGAAATAGGCATTTCTGAATTTATTGTATCATGTAAAAAGTGAGCTCTGTTTAGGAATCATTTACTTTGAGGAAAAAATTGTTGTGATATATAACTCAGCACTCTCCATTTTTGGTCTTCATATTCACCCATATTATATGTATATATATGTTGTGCCTGGACGATGCAGGAAACAACTGAGATTTGACTTGGGAGAGAGAGTGCCTCGTACCCATCATCCACCCCCATCCCCTTTCTGTTTATTTACATGAAGTTTGATTTTAAAACAAACTCTCACTTCCCATTTGGCTAATCTCATTTGCTCTTTTCTTTGGGCAATATAAACATTGTTTCTACTTAAGCTCGAATATTCACTGACTAAAGTAAATCTGAATTTCTAACTTTTAAAACTATTCAAAAGATATATAGGAACAAGTTTCATTGTGATTCACAAAATAGAGAAAAACGTGAGGAATTAAAGCGTTCAATTCACATGTTGCTGCGAAATTTGTTGAAACCTATTTATTTTAGAGTTTGTTATAATATCTTTTCAATATTTATAGGAAAAAACCATATCATTCTCTAGGACAGGGTCATAGGGTGAGTGGACTTTCTCTGTAAAGGACAAAATGATAAATATTTTCAATTTTTCAAGCTATATAGCCTCAACTCTACTATTATAGGCTGAAATCAGCCATAGTCTGTACTTCATGAATGGGCATCTTTATCTTATAGATGAAGAAAACTTTGTAAGAAAGGCTTGCAGTTTAGGTTGGCAGATACAGTCCTCAGGGTTTTCCAGCTTCTGCTCTAGGAGGTAGGCATCTAATGAACTACACAGGATAAACAGAAAACAGAAAGGTAAATGATATAGGAAAGGTGTCCTGAGATTTATTTTTTTCTCATCATTAAGGGGAGACCCTTAGATACCTCTCTGCATTTTTTTGCCCAGTAATACATTGTCTTTACTTTTAAGAATTCTACCATATTCATCAAGATTGTAATTTACAGAACACCTTTTAGTCTTCTTTTATGGTCACAATAGAGGCATACTCAAACAAAGGATTATTTTTCAATGCCATTTTCATATTTGTTATAAATTTATTAAAACAGAAATGTGAAATAATGTTAGTGATCAATCTTTGATCACTAACAATTTTTGATCTCTTTTGGGACCGCTTTTATAGAATGGGCACAAGAAATAGATAAAGATGGTAATCAACAGAAAGTAAGAAATCTAGACCTAAAACAGTGTGGTTCTCCACACCCCCATGTTTCTGGTTAAGAGTGAATACCAACTCTTTGAAAAATCCTGAAATCAGTCTATTCTAATTACAGGTCAAACACAGAACTTTAAAGACGCCTTTTCGGGAGGAGATTCCAATATTACGCGATTGCCCCTGGCTTTTTATTACGGAATGTATGCCTATGCTGGCTGGTAAGTTGAAAGCTCCAGATCTGGCAGTTTGTGTAGTTCATTCACCCCATTATGTACTCAAATTAAGTGCCAAGCAAGGGGCCAGACACATGTGAATAGCCATAATCCAGTGTGATAGGCTTTACTTGAAATGAGAAATAAGGTATTGTCACCTCTACCAGGCCAATTCTTTTGCACATGACAATGCAAACATAACAGGCTTCCAGTCAAGGTGACTATTAGATTTAGCCTGATGTCATTAAAAAAGCAAACAAATGCTGGGTCTTAAGATCCAATAAAAATTACTTATAAGTGTGTATCAGTAAGGACATAATAGTGCCATAAGGTACTAAAGAATAATACTTCACTTGTCAAAAGGCCTTTCAGTGAAAGCTCCAAGGGTATTTACAAATAGTGATTAATTGATTTTTTTTCCAGCTTCTCATGAGATAGAGAAATAACTCAGATGTAGAAATAAGTAAGACGTTCCCAGGAGTTAATGGTACTCTAAAGGCAGAGAAAGAAAAACCAAGATAATGCAGTCAACTCTACTAGACAATCTGATCTGCTACATTTAAAAGGACCTTACATGTTCTTTAAAATTTCCCCAATATCTGAAAATTTAAAAAGCAAAGGTAATTAAAATCATGATGCCACAGATATATTTCCTTTGATGCATGTCCATCTGTGATACCTACCGTTCTGGTTAAGGCATTAAAACTTTGTATTTATACCTTGTTTTGTTCAGATACTTGAAAAACAGTAATTATGGGTAAGAGTGGGATTTTTCCTCAGTAAATTTTATTGACCTAGTAAGATTTAGTAGAGATGATCATTGCAAGAAAGCCTACGAGGTATTATTTAAATATCAAAATCATTATAGTAAGATTAAATTTCATTGTTATGGGGTAAATCAAGGCAATATTTGTTTTTAAATTATTTATAAAACTCATTGTTATATAGCTTTGTCTGTGAGAATGATCTATGAGCCTGAAAGTAATATTAGGAAACTATACTAGCTCAAAAATTATATGAATGCATTTCCAACACAAATATAATTCCATTTGTTTCTTTAGTTTTTAAGATCTTACCTTCTAGCTAATGCATAGAATATAGATATATTTCAAAATGAATGGAGTATTCACCCTAATAATCTCATTGAATTATGAAAATATAGTATTAGAGGATAATTAGGGAATTATGGGAACTTAAAATCTTAACATGGCCTTTGAGGCAAAATATGTTTGAAGAGCGTTAGAAGATTGTAGCTCTAAGGAGATCAGTGTAAAATATTTGCGTATTCCCAGAATATTTTTATAACCATTATCTGTAAGCATCAGTTTTGTATCATTCAGTATTTCTGAAGTCTTTTTGCTTTTGTCTGAAGCACAATGTGGTGCTAGACAGACAAAAGAACTGAGCGTGATCACAGGGTTAAAGCAGAACCAACTGTTCTATGGCTGTTCGCCCTGGATCAGAGCTCTGTGCCCTGGGGCTGCAGCCAAGCTACTGGGAGGGTCACTGGGAGACACCAGAGCAAAGATGGGAGGTAGAGAAAGCTTTCAGGTACAGCCAAGTGTTGGGAGCCCAGCAATACGCAATCAGGAGTGTGGAATGTGAGGATAGTCACAAGGGAGATTTGATTAATTCCGTTGAATGAAATGTCTTTTGCTTGCGAATACCATAGATCTGTTCCCATGCAATCTTAAAATATCCTTTTACCCCCTTCACTTTTCCAATACCCAGAACTAAAAATTCAGGCCACCTGCTTTATGTAGAGCAAAACTTCCCCACTTATGTAGGCTTTTGAGGGCTGATGAATTTCTCCATGGATGAAGATCTTCATTTTGATTTATCTTATGAATATTTAAGTTTATTGATGCTGACCTCAAAATATTACTCTGATTACAAGGTAAAAGGGGTTTACATGAACCTTATTTAATACTTTTACCCATATAATCCTCATGTCTACTCCCTATTTGAAAGACCAAGAAATCATTGATTTCTTTAATATCCTGTTAGGGTTCAATCACAGTATTGTAAAATAAGTCCAGGATTTAAAATGGAATGTTATCTGATACAAGTGACTTATGTAGGGGACAGATAAGTAACTGTGTTTCTGTAACAGGTTGTTGTGCTACCTGCAGCCACTTTGTGAAGACGCAGAAATAACCTGGCTGTTAATCTATGGTCATCAGTCTTAGAAAAAGGAAGCTGTGTTTAGAAAAAAATATAGTCAGTTGGTGTGGAGTTCCAGAGGAAAAGTTATTACTGGATGAAAATGAAACAAGATGGAGGCTAAAAGAATTCCCAAAGAGAGGGGCATTTATTCACTTGCCAAATGTGATCCCTGCCTTTCTGAACTTTCTCTCGCTTTCAAGATATGATTACAAGCCTGGGATGTAGAATTATCAGTGGGGTACTGTAAAGGATCCTCTACTCCCTATGCTGCTGCTATGACAATGTTTGACAGTCCCCTAATAAAAGGTGGGGGCATTGAAAATGAGTAAGTCAGAAGCAAAACAGCTATTGTCATTAGAGCTTACTGCCCAGCCTGTTAGCCTGTAAGTAAAAGCATCAAGACCATTGTTGTCCTGGAGACCTTGCTCTGCTAGCAAGAAAAAAGATACCACCAAACCCAGGGAGGGAATATGAATAGAGGAGGCTTTTGTCTCTGAAGAATGCAGAACCGTTCTAGAATGATAAAGCTACTTCACAGAAGCTTAGTTAGGGGAAAAGAAATCATTAACCCAGCCAGGTCACACAGTTGGGTCAGAGCAACGTTAATAACATTGCCAATGTCTGCATTCAGAGAAATACATCTGCCAGTCCTCCTGTGGCCATGGGGAACTCAGTCCCATATCCTGATCCAAAGCTAAACATTGCTTGGTAGGATTTTCTTTTCTTTTTTTTTTTAGATTTTCTTTCTTTCTTTCTTTTTTTAAATTGTGCCATAGGAAATAGTTTTCAGTGTCTTTTTCTCTTCCTTTTAAATCCCATTCTCAATGGATTTAGTCTTTCTAAAGCACTTGCTGGGATTATTTTGTACTATTGTGTCAAATCGAATCTAAAGAATAAGCTTGTTTTAAAAATAATTCGCGTAGTTGGGTATTGGAATGCATTGCCAACATTGCAGTACTTTTTATGCGCAATCACGGAAAAGCTGGAACAATAGATCATATGAGCATTCTCTAGAGGACTTGAAATGTTGTAAACCAAAGGGAATACCATGGACTCATTTCTGGAAACTAAAACATAAAGGTGGATTTCCCACAGGATATGTGAACGTTTACACTAAAACCAGAAGCTTTCTCCTTCCTACTCACCACCCTGCTCCCAGCCCTTTCTTCTTGTCTACTCCCTGGAGCTATGGCAAATTTTGAAATTGTTGAAATTGTGGGGTTTTTTTTTTCATAAATATTTTATTTATTGCTTTAACATTGTTGGAAAAGACTAGTTTCTAAAACAACTGTTAGGAAGGAACTGGCTATTTTTGACATGAGAAGCCTAGAAATATTTCTTGGTGTGTGTGATTTTTCACTGGTGATGGTCTTTGTTTTTTGGCATGAGTGTGTTTCTTTCTTTTTTCTTCCCCTACTTTCCATTGCCTCAGGCTTATAGCAAACACATCAAACCCCTCCTGGAGTGCATATTGCAGGCATAAGGACTATTTGTTGCTGGCTTTCGCGGTGTACTATGATCTCTATTTTTAGGAACTTATTTTCTAGTCATTAAAACAATCTTTGGCTCCTGACTTTTTAGATCACCATTGTTGCTACTGTTCTGTCAGCTTTTCAATTGTTTCAGCTTAAAACAGTCCTTAAAATTGTGGACACTTTAACCTTGAACATGGACTGACTACTTGTGGATTTAGATGGTTTCATAAAGATGGAGCAAGACAGATTCTTCATCTTTGTTTTAGCTGGTGAGATACTTAAAGTCTGCTAAGAGCTGATGGGCTAATATTCCAGCCACTTCATTTTAGATTTTAGAGAATTTGTACCTATGAACCTATGCTCCTGCATACCTATGTAAAAGATTATTTTAAATAATAAGAAGACAATAGATTATATTGAAAACATGATTTTTTTTTTAATTTCGCAAAAATTTTCTGAGCATATAAAAGGAGAAAATAGAGGAATCTTTGCCTTCCTATGTTTGGTTCTTTTCTATAGCAATCCCTCTGCCACACTTGTACTGCAGAATACTAAGCGAATACTCCTTTCCCTGTGCCTAACCCCTCTGCCACATTTTTGTGCTCATGTGCTATTCTCAGTCTGGAATGGCCTCACACCACCTCACCAGGGCTAAAGATAAAGCAATTTTTAAAGGTTCAAGTTGGGGGATGCCTCCTTTAGAAAACATCTTTTGACCTACCAGGTTGGGCTAGACCTGCCCTCTGGCTCCCATGTATTTGCTCCAGCATTGGTTCTGCACTGTATCATACTATTCTGTGGGGCATTCTCTGAACTATGAGCTCCTTGAGACTATGGGCTTACCACTTGCATGTCTCTGACACATGAGAAGCACTCCGTAAATATGGCTTAATAGAAAAATGATTTGTAGGAGTATTTGGTGGTTAGCTATTTTCATCTTACTATAAGTATTGTTATAGTTTTCATAATTCTAAGTCCAATTTCAAATAATTTGAATTTGAGACTTTGGATAGTGGCAAAATACATAATAGTTTGTGATTTATTTATCTATTTTTAGGTTTTACCTCAATTTTGTAACTGAAGAAGTAGAAAACCCTGAAAAGTAAGTAACCAGATGAACTCTGAAATTTTCCTGAAGAATAAAATTTACGATTACATAGTTTAAAAAGTAGACTTGACAAAGAAATTCAGTGGGGGCTAGTCAGCCTTTAACATCACCATCATAACTATAATTTTCTTAGGCAGATAAGATTTATTTGACTTTATCATAAATTATATACATAATTATATATCATAATTATATACAAATAGCTTAATGGTATATTCTACATTCAATACTACGTTGTCTTTTAACCTAAAAACATGAAAGAATAAAGTTATATTTTAGGTAGCCTATTCCATATAAACACATACATATAACTTAATATGGACTCTCAACTATCCACAGGATAGCTTGAACTCAAAAAGTTAATCATTTCTAACAATTCATGTAATATTTTTTCATAACTGTTGAATTAAAATGGGTAATGTAATTAATGGACAATTAGTTATGAAAACCTAGAAATACCTGCAGAATGTTAGAGGAACTTATACATTTTGGAAGCTGGATAATTTCTACTCTTTCTAGGTGACAACTTGATAAATAGATAATTTGATGATGATTTTTATAACATTTTTGAAATGAACTAACAGAGAAAAATGAATTATTCTTATGAGTTGTTCATAAACATTGGATATTTTACAGAAAAAATTCATGGGCAAAGAGGGAAAATTTAGGAACTAGAGTACAGTATAAAATGTAGACTAAATCATAAAGTTATTTAATTCATTTTACTTTATTGAACATGTGCCATGTTCCAGATATTGTGCTGGGAACAGCTTTCATGATGCCTAAGACTTGTCTTGAAGCATTTTGTTGACTAGTCAATGAGTCAAATGTTTGAACAAATAAATGCAACACTGTGATTGGTACAAAAATAGATTGTTTTCCCAGTTCGGCAAAAAGAAAGGAAGGAAATACTTAAGTGTGTTTAGGGAGATGTTTATAATGAGTCTCAAATGATGAGTAGGTATTCCTTAGGTAAAAGTGAGAAGGAAGAGGAGTGTGGGAAGAGAAAGAGAGAGACAGAGGAGAAACACACACACACTGATTTCTAGGAAAAAAAGCAAGTACAAAGGTGCGTTAGTATGAAATAGGCTGGACATCAAAGGCTATGCCTACGGGTTGACAATTCACACTAAGATAGACTAAGCAATGCTGGCACCTAGCATCTTGGGAGATGGTAAACTGATTAGATCTGGCCAAGTACCAGGAATGTCAGAGTTTAGAACACACAAGCCAGCAATTGGTATCTGATTCAACTGCTATGCAAATCAATATGTAATTTAAACATGTGAAAGCCTATTTTATTAAGAAATATGACCACTTTATGCCAGTATTGTCATATTTATAACTGGATTGTAGGTAGAGAACACATATTTACCAAGAGCTAGTTATTTCTAAGCATTACTTGGAAATGATAAGCTACCTTATGACTGTAAACCCTTTGATTACAGAGATAAATGGACTGGTCTGCCTTTTTAGTTTTAGAGAATTATTTGTATATAAGTGGCAGCATAGAGAAAAGACAGTTCTTACTGGATGTAATATAAAATATTTATTGAATTTCTATGATGGGAAATAAATTACTATGGTTTGTAACTGTGTCTGTTAAGTTTACAGATATTTTAAAGACATCAGTTACTAGAATTTAACATAAGAGAATATTTCTTATAAGCAAATGACAAATTGTAGGGTTGCAGACAAGACCTATAACATTACATTTATTATATGATACATCAGTGGTGTAGATATAGTTTGTATTCTCTTTAATATTATTTAACAGTTTAAGCATGATTTTTGTTTGCCACATATACAGTAATATTATTAGTCTATACTAAGCATACCTTTAAACTACTTATGCCGTGATTACTTCAACACAAATTTCTGACATATTCCCCTAGGCTAGTGTTCAGATTAAGGATTCTCTCCTTCAGTTTTTTAATTGAAAGGCCTTAGTTTCAAACCACTGATAATGTCCATGATTTAGTGCACACAAATACTAAGGAACAGGTCATGGTAGTGTATTAATTTAGTGCTTTTTTTTTTTTCTGTTGCAAAGGAATCCCCTTATCTCAAAAATGCAAATAATAATAGCACATACTTCAAAGGATTGTACTGATGAATTAACATGCGTAAGGTGCTTAGATTAGTGACTGTCACTTTTTAATTTCTACATAATTGTTTGGTTGTCTTTACTACTATTATTGTTATATACTTTATTTGAGGAAAGTAAAATGTTATTCACATAATAGTGTTTTCTAGAATTCAATATTCCAAGCAATTATTTTTCTTCAGACCTTTTGAAAGCAACGTGAAAAGTTATAGCAGTTTGAATCTTACTGTTTAGACTTTCAGTGTCAAAGCTGAATATGCAGTTTTGGCCTCTGATATGCATTCTTGATCCTTAAAATACCTTTATGGGATATCTATGCTGTCGTCTTGATGCATGCATACAATGTGTAATGATCAAATCAGGATAAATGGGATACCCATCACCTCAAACATTTATCATTTATGTGTGTGTGTTGAGAATATACCAAATGTTCTCTTTTAGCTAATCTAAATTATACAATGTTTTTGGTAACTACAGTCACTTTACTGTGCCACTGAACACTCGAACATATTCTGTCTAACTCTATTTTTGTTTTCAATAACCAACTTATCTCCATTACTTTCTCCTTATTCTTTCTAGCCTCACTATCATTTTAGTCTCTACCTCCACAAGATCAACTTTTTTTAGCTCACTCATGAGTGAAAACATAATATTTGTCTTTCTGTGCATGGCCTACTTCACTTTATATAATGTCCTTTAGGTTAATCTATGCTGCTTCAAATAGCTGAGGAAAGATTTCATTCTTTTATTGGCTGAATAGCACTCATATATATATTTTATATATATATATATATATATATATATATATATATATATATGTATATGCATACACACACACACACACACACACACACACACACACACACACACACACATAGGTATATATCACATTTTCTGTATCCATTTATCCATGGATGGACACATAGATTGATTCCATGTTTTGGCTGTTGTGAATAGTATTGCAATAAACATGAGAGTGCAGATGCCTCTTCGATATACTGATTTCCTTTCTACTGGATATATACCCAGCAGTGGGATTGCTGGATCATATGGGAGTTCTATTTTTAGTGATTTGAGAGCCTCCATATTGTTCTCCATAGTGTCTGTACTAACAGCAAATTTTAGATTCAGGGGTTACATGTGTAGTCCCTGAATTTAAAATAAAAGGTGTTTTGTTTGTTACATGCATATATTGCATGATGCTGAGGTTTGGGGTATGAATTATCCTGTTACTATTGGATAGTGGGCATAGTACCAAATAGGTAGTTTTTCAGTCTTTGCTGCCCTCCTGCCCTCCCTACTCCAGTAGTCCCCAGTGTTTATTGTTCCCATCTTCATGTTCATGAGTATCCAGTGTTTAGCTCATACTTATAAGTGAGAACATGCAGTATTTGGTTTTCTGTTCCTCTGTTAATTTTCATAGGATAATGGCCTCCAGCTGCATTCATGTTGCTGTAAAGAATATAATTTCATTCTTTGTTATGGCTGCATAGTATTTCATCATGCATATTACTACATTTTCTTTATCCAGTCCACTTTTGATGGGCACTTAGGTTGATTCCATGTCTTTGCTATTGTGAATGGTGCTGCAAAGAACATATGAGTGCATGTGTCTTTTTCATAGAATTACTTATTTTCCTTTGGATATATACCTAATAATAGAATTGCTGAGTCAAATGGTAGTTCTGTCAAAAATTTTTTGAAAAATCTCCCATCTTCTTTCCACAAAGGCTGAACTAATTTACATTTCCACCAACAGTGTATAAGCATTCCCTTTTGTCCACAACCTTGCCAACACCTGTTATTTTTTGACTTTTTAATAAAAGCCCTTCTGGCTGATGTGAGACGGTATCTTACTGTGGTTTTGTTTTGAATTTTTCTGATGATTAGAGATGTTGAACTTTTTTCTTATGTGTGTTGGCCACTTGTTTATCTTCTTTTGAGAAATGTCTGTTCACGTTTTTTGTTCACTTTTTAATGGGATTATTTGGTTTTTGCTTGTTGAAATTGTTTAAATTCCTTGGAGATTTTGGATATAAAACTTTTGTCAGATGTATAGTTTGTGAGTAATTTCTTCCATCCTGCAGGTTGTCTGTTTACTCTGTTGATAGTTTCTTTTCCTGTGCAGAGCTCTTTAATTAGGTCTCACTTGTCAATTTTTGTTTTTGTTGCAATTGCTTCTGAGGATTTAGTCATACATTCTTTCCCAAGGCCAATGTCCAGAATGTTATTTTCTAGGTTTCCTTCTTGGTTTTTAGAGTTTGAGGTCTTACGTTGAAATCTTGAATTCATCTTGAGTTAAGTTTTGTGTATGATAAAAGATAGGGGTCCAGTTTCATCCTTCTGCATAAGATTGGCTGGTTATCCAAGCACTATTTTTTGAATAGGGAGTCCTTTCCCTATTGCTTATTGTTGTTGACTCTGTTGGAAATCAGATGGTCCTAGGTGTGTGACTTTATTTCTGGGTTCTCTAACCTGTTCCATTAGTCTATTTGTCTGTTTTTGTACCTGTATCATTCTGTTTGGGTTACTGTAGCCCTATAGTATAATTTGAAGTCAGGTAATGTGATGCCTCTGGCTTTGTTTTTTTGTTTGTCTGTCTGTTTGTTTGGGGTTGCTTTGTCTATTTAGGCCCTTTTTTTTTCTTGGTTTCATATGAATTTTGGAATAGTTTTACCTAGTTGTGTGAAAAATGATGTTGGTAGTTTGATATGAATAGCATTGAATCTGTATATTGCTTTAGGCCATACTGCCACTTTAACGAGATTTAGTCTTTTAAGCCATGAACATGATATAGTTTTTCATTTGTTTGTGTCATCTATATTTTCTTTCAACAATGTTTTATAGTTCTCCTTGCAGAGATCTTTCACCTTGGTTAGATGTACTT